ATGTTTTTTACAACGTATGACAAAATATCCACAGCAGTATCGTCAATGAGGTTTAATTTGAAGTCAATATCTTGTTTACACAGATGTGGGAATATCACGAAAATGTACGAAGACAGATGCATCGAGACGTCACCCCCAACGAAGAGCCAAACGAAGCCCCGAGTGGCAGTCTCTGAATTAAACACTGCCTATCAGGCTTGAGATGAGCATACCTGAGAAGATTCGTTTGCGAATGTATGTGTTCGGTTCTCATTCATGCCAGACCGCAACGAGTATGATCATGCGATATTTGGATACTCACATAAATCTGGTCCACGGCTATAGACGATCTATATACCCGGCTGCCCTAGGCTGGTGCTTCATTTAAATCGGAAACTTCATATATTCGCTTCATAAATAGTCTGCAGTACTCTCAGATCCCCTCTCAATCCCTATCTCACAGCCCCAACTTATGCTTCTTAACCCTCGCACCGACTCCAGCGAGGATAAAAATGGCAGCAACAACGACACCCCATAGAGGAATATGAATCGCCATCAAGTTGTAGGTGGTCTGCGTCGCCGCCACGACAGTCGCCATCTCCAGCAGTAGCAAAACATAACCGCTCCAGCGATGGTACTTGTAAATGCGCTTCCCAGCGTCCACACTACCGAGGACGGTGACGGGCACAAAGTACTGGATGACACCGACCACGGCTTGCAGCACGATGGCGATGTAAGTGACCAGACCTAGAATACCGTGAGGAGAAACAAAGTGCGGATGAGAGCCCTTGTTAACCTCTATAATAACAAAAGCAGATACAAAAAGCACCACGCTGAGCAGTTGAAAGGAGTAGTGGATGTGAATACCCGTACGCTTCTGTTGCGGGGTGGCGGTTGGTTGCAAGATCAGAGCTGCTTGGACTTGAAGAAGCAGGGCAGAGCTGCCGAGTAGCTGAATATCTTCCAGTTAATGTCTTTCTTTGGGATATTTCGTTCGGCGACATGAATACTTACTGGATGCGGGGTGAACAGCGAGAGGGGTTGGGATAAGACACCTTGCCAGACCAGCGCGGCTAGCTGTATTGTTTATTAGTTCTCTGATCTTTTCGAATAGGTCATAATGCCTTACAATCCAAATCCCTGCTTGCGCAACACTTGCTGTTCCTAATCTTGGAGTCAGTCGTGGGTTTCGATTAAAAGCTTTCACGCTCACCTGTGAAAAGGTTCCGATAAATGGCCTCCTCGGGCTTTTGTGTGACATCGCCTGGACGGCCCAATAGAGGCTCATCCTCTCGCGATTCAATTGTCACTGGGTGAGCTTGAGGGATTCCTGTTGCCGAGGCCATGGCAGTTATAGGAGATGCTCATAAGAAAAGGTGAAAAGATTACACAAAGAAAGAGATTAAGGGCGGTGGCCAATGATCCTTGCGTTTATTGCTTTTTTTCAGCTCGATGTTCTCTACAAATCACAAATTGGCGTGATCGTCACTTTCGATGACGTTTGAGATAGGGTCCGCATATCTCCGGGAGCTGAAAACGCCAGTGAGAGGGATTCCATTGCAAAGCTGATTCGGCAAAAGAAATATCTGGGCTTGGCCTATATTACAAATTTCATAAGTACGCCATTTTACTATGATACTACATAAACTAATTCCAAGTGAATCACTTCATTGATCTAAATACAATCAACACATAGGCTCAGGCGATGGGGCACCACTTCGATCCCCTCGATCTGGCATAATCCTGTATTGAATATCCGCAGGGACACAAAAGTCCAAAAATATCATCATACTCTCGATTTCATTGGCAACTTTGTGGGTGCTGTTCCGGTCCTTGACAAGAGTATCTCTGAAATACTGCACCCGTTCATAGAGCCTGTTACATTTGACTGTCCAACTAGAGTTATCGTGGTCAAAATGAGCCTGTCCGGACATTCTCAGACCCTCGACTCGCAGAAGAAGAAGATTCAAAGACTTGATAACCATCTGTCGGCTTCCCTTGTAGTTGTCCTTGAGAATGTCAATCTGAGCGTGCAGTGTGGTCATGAAGTAGCGGCGCTCTTCTTCGTACGTACCGTGGAAACTGCGACCGGACATGGCTTTGGTGGGAACTAGATGGTATTGAGTATAGTGGATTGTGAGGCTTACCTGGGCCTGTGACTTTTGAGCTGATTACCTGAAAAACGAGTAGCTGGTGGATGATGAGACATCCAAAGGTGGTACATACGGCCTCTTTTATGGTTGAGTCCATGGTCAAAGAGAAACAATGTAACAAAGACTATCATCATATTCTTTATATTCTAAACATAGATGAATATTGATATCTAATAAAAAGATTCTAGCACAAAGACATGTCATCTTCTTTGTGATATAAGACACAGATACAGAGTCTATATCCAGCAGTCTTTCATGATATTCATTCACCAAGGCATTGTCAACACAGGCCCTTCCTCTCCAGACCCAACCCGGCCAAAGACCACCTCTGCGCCGAGATTCTCCAGGTCCAAGTTCATAATAATGTTGAACAAAGTACTACTCCTATTTGAGATATGACGCGATGGGTCCTCCTGGCAACATATTGACTGAGGCTGGTTATACGTATCAGAGAAGACATGTTCTCGCAACACAGCCGGGGTAATAGTATCGCCCTGAACACCCCCCTGTATTAACTCCTGTGTCAACTCCCCTAGCCGCTTGAGCCGGATAGGTGACCCGGACAGCCACGGTGGCTCATTCACATATCGATTCTCAAGGAAATGATTGGTATGGCCGATAATCCCCGATGCATCTTCGGAAATATGTTTGTCTCCAACTGGCGACAGCTCAAGCCCTAGGGCTTTGATACTGTCCGCACAAAGAATATGCTGAGCAGAGGCGACACCACCCAGAGACTCGATGGTCTTCACAGCGTTGTCGACAGAAGTACTCTCCAAACACAACCGAAGCGCAACGTGGATCGGGATCTTGCTGCTAATCATCGGTTTGGCACGGATTGCATTAAGACAAGTCCCAACGCCGCTGGTATTGAAACCTATCTTGCCAACGATTCCTGCCTGAGAATAGTTAATTACATGTCAGATAATAGACCTATACAGGAGTACTGACCTCGGTAACCATATAGATAGTGGGTTTTCCAACCTGCTCAATCGATACCATCGCTAGGTTCTTCTTGACAGTCTGCGTCCAGTCCCAATTCTGCGCGAGCACCCGCGTCGCCTCGCTTTTCTTCCAGCTTAGCGCTGTGCAGCCATCGGAGAACCGTCCTAGCGCTATCTCGCTTCGGCAGTTCAGCGCGATTATGTCAAGCACATCTAACCCGGCGCCCTCTGCGATACCCTTCATCTCCGTAAACAGATCAGGCGTTAGCTTCTGAAGCGTGGGCTGAAATTCAGTTGCGACTTCGCGCACATCTTTCCAGGCTAGATTTGAGGTATGCTGGAACATGGCATCGTAGATAGATATCTGGCTGTGGATTTGGTCCCGTAATCCACGACCATGCTGTAGCCCGATCTAATTTAATTAAGTCAGTTGAGGTTCTTAGTTATATGCAGATGTTTATTTAGTATTGGGAGAATTTACTTCTCGAGGAGCTCCCTGGAGCTTCAGCTTGATTGGCTCATCTTTGGGTTGCATGTTGAGTATTCAAAATGCAGGTAACTATACAGATAGTCGAAGTCAAGGCTATCAGGGCTATCTCCTGCTATTTAAGGGGAATATCAACAGCCGAGGCGGAGTTCCCCTCAGTTGGAGTAATTCGGGGTCTAGCTGATAAGGATCGCAATGACTTGCCCTAACTGGCTATAATTCGAGATTCCAACAAATAGAAGCTTTACGCGATGGTGCTATACAGGATGTTGGTGGTGACACAGTAATCTCTAGCACTAATCACACACTACTCTTATTTGACGTTACGGCCGAGAATACGGAGTACTATTAGGTTATACAATTATTGTGTCAACCCCTTATCGATCTACAGGGTTTATTCAGGGCGTTTATGCGACTGCTCGGACTCGCTCTCTGTTACACCCTAAGGAGATAATTGTTTCACTGGTATAATATGTGGTAACATTGAAATTAGACTGGATGTTACCATCCCGACAAATGGAAATATTTATATGAGGTGGCTTGATCTATTGTATGAAATTAAGGGTTCTAAGATGCGTACAACATAGGGCTGCTCCCAGACTGAGTTGACAGGACGGAGGATATACCATACGGAGTACGGAGTAAGTCGGGGTGACGGCGAAAAGACCACGTTTGTGCGTGGTCTTTCGAGGGGAAATCGTGGTCATTTCACCCAGCGCTCGCGTTGGAGCATTGAATACAACACTAGCCAAGTTAGGTTTAGCGCCCTTACAGGAGTAAGTATTCATTATACATTAACGCCCTCAGCGCGTACATTATGGATAAAAGATATAAAGGCAGTCTAAGTCCCCGTTCAGATATCATCCCTAAATATCTTCATATCTTCGGCGTGACCGTTCTACTTTCTGACAACATTAAACTGTACCGCCGGCAAAATGCCGAAGAAAAGTGAAGCTAAGCTTGACGAAACCGATTAGATGTTATTCATCTAATAAGAAGATCCGGAAGTTGACGCGGATTTTGCCGATTCCACGCTGAAATCCGTGGGGCATATACAGTGGCGTTGCATGAGTATTTGCACCCCAGTACTTCCATTGTTGACCGCCCTGGCTATACCGCCTTTCGATTACTACTGGTATAGACCCCACTCGCATAGCAGGATTAGATGTGAGTGGATGCAAAATTCTTCCGGCAGAAAATAGAAGTACCCGGGTGCAAATACTCATGAAATATGACTGTAGATCGCAACTTCAAAAAGTAGGTTTATCCTGATCTTTCTTCATTAGATTTTCTCCCTGCTGTTACTGATAAATATAGTTTTGTCCAACGCCTTATCCCGCCAGACCCTTAATACTAGCTCAAGAATATAACTCTCAGAGTTATCGAAGGTTTCCTTCGCTGGTACCTTGAAAGTTGCGGTACGGAACCACCAATTGAATGTGGCGGTTGGAGGCGAATACTGTGTGTCTATTGGTCGGACAGCCAGTTAACGGTTCAGAATCGCGAATCTGTAAGAACTCGGACGGCGATGATAACGGTGGCCACAACTCCGATGCCTCTGTTGTTGGCGAGAGCAATGGCGTTACCATCAGTAATGCAATTATCAAGAACCAGGATGACTGCTTGGCCGTTAACTCTGGTACTGTAAGTACCGACCAGAACATATTAACGCGTTCCATTGATACTGATGTTATAGAGCAAGTAGGTTAGCAGAGAGTGAAGCAAGTGTAGACAAGAAAAGGCCGTTAGACAGGAACCAGTCCCATCAGTGCGATTTGGGAGCGGCAAATGCTACGGAGCCAATCGACATCGAGGGGGAGAATATCTGCGCCCGTCATGCCTGGAACGAGGAACTTCCCAAAAAGCTCGCTTCGTGTAACGCGTACTTGCTGCTGAGCGGCCGCTTGCCCTTGGGGAGTGGGGAAGACGGTTTCGTCTTGCGCGAGGTAAGGTATGCCTTGCGAGTTGAGTCGGTATACCTCGAGGAAGCCTGAAACGTTGACGCCTTGTTGAGTGAACTTGATGATGATAACGGCTCGAATATCGCCATTTCCTCCAACAAGCAGCTTGTTCATATCATCAAGGAGATCAGGATACCCCTCAGACCAGCCAACTTCCACGACAAGCGTAGGCAAATTCAGTCCTCCTATACGGAAGGCGGCGTCAGGTTGCTTTCTCCAGCCTCGATATACGCCGTATTTGAAGTCAATGCCTACTTAAAATTAGCTCGGTTAACGTGAGATCCATCATAGTAACTTACTCGCATCAGACATAGTATACAGAATGTCCTCTTCTTGAGGAATTGTAAGCCCCGCACGAGTCCACCGCACCATTGTCCGTGATAACCATCCGCTTGCTACATCGTGACCATTGGTAGGCATGATGGAAACACGTAGTAGACCTGTGATAGGATCGTAGGTCTTCCTATTTGCCGGCAGGTCTTCGTCAGCCTCCCATAGGGAGTCCTCCCATCCGAGAGGAACGTCGGTCACGGTTAATAGCTGATAGTGCTTAGCCGCGCAGATAATGCCTTTGACAGACTCGGCAAAACTCGCGTGCTCCGTAAAGTTCTTTGCGGAGATCGTGAGTATTTCACACGCGTCTGACGGGGGATCTTGAGGAGAAACCATGGTGAAGATGAGAATAGAATTAAGGAGGAGTAGTAGGAAGAGTGAAGGAAGCAAAGACGCGGAAAGTACGAGTTTAATATTCTCGGAAAGCGCTGACTAAATAACGCAACCCGGACCATGAAACGGAGATCCTAGCCCTCTGGCAGACTTTTTAAGCCCGTTTGTACACCAACTGCCATACCCGTTGCACATGCTGTTATCAGGTAGGCTACCCGGCCGTGCGGAGGAACCTTGGTAGATAATAGACGATCTTGCCAGAGTGATAATTCGGCGGTTAGAGGGCGAGCGCCAATTATACACAAGGTCGTAGTTGTCTCACATGGCTTTCCAGGTACATCCCAACGTCCTTACTGGTCGCACGGATCTCTAAGGATAAGGTGTCTTTGAATTGATCTATAATTTCTGATATGAATCGCGATGTCGCAAAGATATTTGCATTATATCGTGTCTGAAGGTTGAAAAGCTCTGATATAAAATGCCGCCGGTCTGATACCTGGCATTCGTTAAGTGTATTAATAATAATAAAGAGTTTTGAAAATATTACTACTACAATTAGGAGGACTTTAGAAATTTCTTCAGCTGATGGTCGCGTTCTGGCTTTATAGTACTTATAGAGCTCTTTAACGCTATTTAGGAGAGGCTGGTACTGCCTAGCTAGCTGTTTTAGTAAGCCTACTAGCAAATCCTTAGTCTTCTGATTATCCTACCGCTTAAAGTCGCAGTATATATAAGCGATACCAATTATTAGGTCTATCTGAAACTTCTAGTCGAGATAGTCGACCATAATCGAGCTAATGATAGTTTTGCCAGCTCCGGGAATTCTAGGATAAAATATTATCTAGTTCTTATTCGCCTTCTATATCTTAAACTGCGTTAATTCTAGAATCTACTGGCCAGTTCTACGTTATCTTCTTCCTAAGTAATTGCTTTATTAAGGCTATAGTTAATCGGTATAATCTAGTTAAGTATCTTAAGCTCTTCCTTTTATACTAAATAGCTGCTTATCTTTTTGATATTTACCCTAGACTAGGATATAGTGTTAAGAACTAAATCCATTTATTAGAAGGCTATCGAAACTTAGTAAAAAGATCTTAAAGTTAACTAATCCTACCTAAGTATTTCTTTTACTAGCCGCTCTCCCTTAACATCAGTTGGTTATAAGAATACTAGGAATTCCTTTACAAATGCTACAGCAATAGCCGCAGTATATTCCTACTAATCATCGTTCTTATATAAGTCCGCGTAATCGCAGATTCCTCGGATAATAATATACAGGAAGTTGCTTATCAGCCCTACTGCTTCCATTTCGATGCAAAGGAGTTGGCCACCAAGATCTTTGAGTTTGTTTCGGAGAGCAGCATCCTTGATAACCTGGTTTCCTGATGCGATCAGACCGAAGTGCACAGATATATCTCTCGGTTTCCTCCGCATAACCTGTGTCTTATCGCAGAATCGGCAGCTCTCTTCCTTGTCCTCATCCACATTGTCAACATTGGAAGTATCATCGAGATCCAAGGGGCGCCTGCTTGCGTGTCCATAATCTGCTTTGAATAATATATCCCGTAAATCAGACGGCAGGTAATTGGGTACAAGTCTCGGCCACCTCTCCCTCAATTCCTTCAAGTACTCCGGTATCTTAGAGCCAACCATGTCGTGCTCCGTCTCCAACTTCGTCAGGGCCGTGAGCAGAGACGTGGGCGGATTGTTCAGCGACCCGGTCCGTTCGAAGCTACTGCCTTCTTTCGCCTTGCCAAAGTCCCATTGGACCACGCCAGGAAATTGGCCCACGGGTGTGCTGACCACCACATCGCCTAGTCTCACCTTAGGTGGGATGCCGCCGCCGATACACCATCAGGCCAAATTTGATGGATGGAAAAGTCGAGATCATCCAGGAGGCCACGTTCGCTGCCGAATTGTTTCCAACCTGGCCTTTAGGGAGACAGGTTATTACAACGTTGTGGTTGCCAACAGATCCAAGTGTGTAAGCGTTGGGGTCATTTGGCGGTTTCGGGAGCTCGACGTGTCTTCGATCCACCATGGCTGTCGCCGCGGTCTGCTCTTTTGGCAGAGCATATATCCACCCCACAACGTATTCCTCGTGAGTTCTGGGTTCGGTATCCATCTGCGCAGTCATTATAAGAGGACTGGACCAGACCTTGGGCTATCGAAGGTCTATATCGATATTAATCAGCCGTAGTCGGTTCCGGTCGATCACAGGGCTCTAGTTTGATTCAAAGTAGATAATAACGACTCAAAGGCAAGTTAAAACCCTATATACAGAGGGAGATTAATACTATTAAGGGAAAAGAAGGGGAGAATTCTCTTAAAATCCCACTCCTATCACCGGGTCAGGGGCTAAGTATTCGGCCTTATAGGGTTTTACCACGTTAGACCTATATGCGGCGCTCGGAATTCACGCCATAATCTGCAGCCCCCATCCTAAGTCACTTAGGTATACCTAACTAACGCCCGAATCCATATAAAACTTACTACTTTGTTACCCTGTCTATCTTAATATATAGGATTTAACAAGTACCTAATAAGTAAAAAGTCTACTTATAAGTAGTAGATAAAATACTAGTATATTAATAAATACTAGATCCCTATAGGGAATATAAGAACCAACCCTTCAATAGGCCTAATAGTATAGATCATTTCCCTAGATATAGAGCGCTAGGGTCCTTTTTAGTGGTAGTCTATTTAGGAGAATAAAAACGGTTACCAGTTAATTTTTGAAAGTACCCCATGCGTTCGGCCATAGGAGAGCTCTTCAATTATGGTTATTTCTATTACAGCAAGCCATCTATTTCCGCACCTCTTCTTTAGTCAGAATCTTTACTACATCCTTAGGGAAGAGATAACTATAACCAGACTAGATAGTTGCAATAGCCACAGTGAATTTATTTTCTACGATCAGCTTCGATTAGGAACAGCTCAGGCCACTAAGCTGGGACTAGGGCGGCAAAAGGAAGTTTCCGAACGTATCAAAAAGAAATGGGTGAATGCGGACATACAACAGTAGAGATTCGCTGGTGGTCACCCTACCGGCGTGTGGCTTATACGCAGTCCGGTGGGTGTCGCCTGGGTGATAAATGGGGTGAAAATCGGGGTGATAATCACCCGAGTCGCGCGACCACTGCATTGATCTCTTCAGTTGAATAACGGCAGAAGATCATTGGATCGTGTTGTTTCCCTTGAAATGCTCGATATCTTGGCATTTGCACGTAACTAGAACTGGAAGCGTCATAAAGTTATTGGTTCCTTCTATTCTTGGCCTGTAACTGATTATTACATGCTAATGCTGCCATACAGCTTGCTTTTATATCTGAGATCTTAAGCTCGAGCCGCTCCGAATTAGAAGAAAGATGGAACTAACATCATGAACGGATGGGGCTCTCTACTCCGTCCTACGCCCTTTCGTTATACCATATCTCCTTGATAAGATGTAGTGCTCCAAAAATCGAGGGGAGCAGCAATGCTATCAACGAACTAAGTATCACGGTATAAACGACCCTAACAGCTTGTATGTAGAGTGAACTCTGAATACAGCGCCTCTCTCTGCCTTGGTTAGGGATAACGACATTCCACGCTCAAGAAATGATAACAACTATACATCTTCCGGAGAATTTGACAGACTCCACATGCCCTCAAAGCAACCACGGATGGATCTTCATTACGTTCCAGAATATCCCTCGTCTCCGCGTGAAAACCGGTATCTTTCCCTCGATTTCACGAGGCGCCATATGATAGACAAGCCTCCGGAACCGTTCAAAACGGGAACTTTATCTAAACATTCTAAAAGAGCTCGTTAAAGGATGCCGAGGCAAATATCTTGATAAGATTAACAAAAAGATTACTGTCTTTGAGCACCGCGATGGGGACTGGAAGAAGACCAGGTTAAGACCGATTCGACCGCTCTCTACGGTTATTATAGATAATCAAGTATAGGATGACATTTTAGGACATGTCCAAGACCACCCACTCCACAGTTTATTACCTCTACTTCACCTTAACCTACGAGTCTAGTAGCGCAATTTAGGAAACATAGCCTATTAGGGAACTTAGATTAGGAGTCGCTTATATGTATCTGGCTTAGTCCCCTGTCTACATGCTTTTTGCGGAATTGCTTATACATCTAAGAATATTAGGATCAACCTGGTATTTCATTCCCTATTTTCCCTATGTCGTTATTATAGATATATCCTTGCTCATATATAGCTAGCAGGAGTCCTGACTGCATAGTGGCTAAATGATCTTGTCGATATGTATGTAGGAGCGAGAAAATCTTTTTGCATACCACATATAGGGGTATGATTTCAGTAAGCTGAGACAATTCTGGGACATTTGGCGGATTCACCAGCAAAATATGGAGAAAAAGGGAAGCCAACTCGGCACAGGGCTCATCTCGCAGTGATGCAGCTCTTTGTGCCAAGAAGATGGGATGAATAAAGGGAAGCCATTGGTGCATGCATCGTTCGTAGCAACCTATAACATTTTCTAATCGAAGATTCAGGCTTGCCAAGATGTCAAACATGTAGCAAGTGAAACCAATGTCGATGCTCTCCTTCCTGTAGGTGCCGATGTAGGGTTGATCAAGGTAGTAAAGTGATTTGTGAATAACTAAGCTCCAATGGTCATGATCATGAGTGCGAGTGATAGTTTGTAGAGGTTGATGGCTAGGATTGTCCTGAGTAGCACAAGATGTGTACTGACATGGAACGTTTTTGCTTCGCCAATTTAGCCAATTGCTCCGAACAAGGTTGAATCCATTATTTACCTGACACAACGGCTGCAGCCCGGCATTTGCCGATCACATTTGCGTTTCTGAGAATGACACAAGAAACAGGCATTTGGAGCAGCACTGCCTACTTGCATAATAGCAAAAATACTCTTGAATGGGCGGGAGCTTAAGGAGCGTGGATTCGTGAAAACGCCAGTAAGTAGTGGAGAATAGTTTGACCTATTAGGGACAAGTACAATATAAAGCGGTGAGAGCAATATTGGCAGAACCTGACTCTTGTTGCGCTAGTCCGCTAGTGTCGGACTAGCTTCCCTTGGCAAATGAAGTATGTGATAGGCTATATTGTATGAATCCTTCAATATTATACAATTCCCTAGGTCCCTTAGACTGCTTATCAATTTCAATTATAAATCTCAGTGTGGTACTCGGTGTTCGGTGTTCGGTCTTATTAAAAGACAATAGATCGTCAGCTATAAGTATGCTCGCCACTCCGTATACGCCCATTAGTTCTTTGCCAGACCTCATCATCGGATTTCCCAAACTTTGCCTACCCCCCAAGAAACATGAGTGTTTCCGACGTGCCTTGTGCTCCATCCCTTTTCATATCCCACAGTACAGGGCCGTTTCCGCTCTTGGACCCCGAACAGGAATCCTACAGACAACTCGTCCGCCGTCACGGAAGCAAGCTCGACGGTGTCAAGGGCATCCTCCTTTTTTCGGCTCATTGGGAGACCGAAACTCCGCATATATCGGGTGGCGATAATCCTGGTATCTTCTACGATTATGAAGATATGCGGGATAGGCTCCCGCCGGCGGCGTTTGAATTCCAATATCCGGCACCCGGAAATGCGAAGTTGGCTACAGAAGTTGCCAACCGACTGAAAAAATGTGGATTTAGTCCTACTTTGGATCTTCAACGTGGATTTGACCATGCTGTCTACGTCCCAATGATCCTTCTACGACCGCAGGCCGATATCCCAATCGTCCAGATGTCCATTCTGAAAGGACACGATGAACAAGATTCAACAGAGAAGAACATCAAGCTGGGACAGGCAGTGGAATGTTTCCGCAATGCCGGCTACGCCATTGTTGGGAGCGGCGGGTCGTACCATGACTTCGAGGCTATCGCGAAGGCATTCTTTACAAATGAGCCTGTGCCAGCAGGCACGGAACGATTCGAAAATTTTCTAAAGCATGCGGCATCCATTCCTGATTCTTCCCAGAGAGAAATGGCGCTTCTTGGATGGAGGGAACTCCCTGCTAGTCATACTGCTCATTTGACGAACTGTTCGGAGCCTCTAATGCCTTTCATGGTTGCGGCAGGAAGCGGAGGGGACAAAGCCGGAGTGAGATTTGATATGTATGAGTACAAGGGAGCTCCAATGAGTTTTTATAGGTGGTAAAGGGGGCCACTCAGTCTGAAGGTCGACCTTCAGACGAAGTGTCATTCTTGTGTAATCACTTGTTGTTACCTATAGGAATCATGAATTTCGCCTTTACATTAATAATCTCTGTATTGTATTTCCATATACGCTGATCTATTTTTGATTTGGCTAGTTGCGAAGCATTGCATGATAGCTCAGTCACTCCGTTGGGCACTTTCCATTATCAGCACCCTACTGTGTGGATTGAATACATGAAGGTGCTACCTAGATACGACGGCTAAAGACAGAGACATTGCAGATAGCTACATGTATTTCTTATGACAAACACTTCTATCCTTCCTCACCTCCTTCCCGAATTCCATCCATGAACCCATTCCTCTATTGATTGCTCTTCCCACGCAGTACAGGCTTATACTCATTTTCAATGAAAATCAAGTGCGCAAGGCCCGAACTTCGATTCGGATGATAACGGAAATGCCACATGGATATTCCTCTCCTTCGGTCAGTGACCCTCCCGCAGCTGCCCCTCACCGAGCTAACTACGGCAGCGTGGCACTTACTTGCCGAGGAACACTAGATTAGCCACGTTCATGATTGACATGAAGAGCCAAATCAAGACGGCTAGAATCATTGTGTACCACGAGTTGGTCATCTTGACACCTTCGGGTTCGAGCTCGGCTCCCTCTCCAATTACCTGGTCCGCATCGCTCTCGTCATCCCTGCCCGCCATGCGCCAGCGCGCTTTGCCGGGGTAGGCCGTCATGTATTTATCGCGGCAGGTAAAGTAGATCAGCGGCGCGGTAACAAATGGAAGTATGATACTCAGCGCTACTTGCGACCCATTGAGCGCCGCATTAAGCCCTTCGCGACCCACGGCTCCCGCGATGATGATGCTCGGGGTGATACTGATGGTGCGGGTTATGAGGCGGCGTAGCCACGGCTTCATCTTCCAGTTCAGCGCGCCCTCGCTGACCATCTGGCCGGCGATGGTGCAGACGATTCCCGCCG